TTGGGAATATCACCCCTTTTAGGTGTTAATGGGCTATTTGCGAAAAATAATGCGCGAGGGCATATCGATTTTATGGCTTATATGTGTAGTATAACCCACCCCGGTAAAAAGGACCCCTATAGGTCTCAGCTCCCGGTTGACCTTTCTGGTGCTAATTGACCTTTCCCGGGAAAAGTGATAATGAACCTTAAAAGTGGGATAACTTGAGAAGTATTTGTCGGATATGGATGAAACTTGGTAGGTACGACCCCATGTGACCTCGAACCGATTATGGGAGACTTGACCCCGGGTGACCCCGGGTTGACCTTTACTTGACCTTTTGGATTTTAGCCCCGAAACCCCTAAAATTAGCACCGGAAAGTAGCCCAAATCATATGTCTCGTAATCAGGGGAGTTAATAGAGATATGTTATTGATATTGGGTGACAATTTGCGTGCATAGGAAATTAGTTAGGCATTTCCTGGAATTCGATGGAATATCTTGGCTTAATGTATAGTGGTATATTGTTGGATTTAATACGAGTTAGTTAAATAAACATTGGGTCAAATTTTGACTTGGCGAATGAACTATTAATAGAAATGCGTCAATGGCACAGAAAAGTAGTCACATATTAATTTGGCAATATGACAGAGGGAATAGGGAATTAATTAACATAAATATTAGAAATGTACTGGATATTCCATTGGCTTCTGGGGAAGGTTTTATTGGCTCAATTGGACCCCAGTTGAGGGAACGGCTTACCCTGAAGGTCGATTAGATTGAAATTTGAATGGGTTATGTATTGGAATTTTTGGATTGCGATAATTAGGAAATTAAGTTCATTGGGAATTTATCCTAGTCATGGGAGAAAGGAAAAGATGCGGGATAATTAAATAAAGTCCTTGGGTATTTGGATATGTAAACATAGCTTGAATTAAGTTGAAGTTGCACTTGTTATTTGTTTAGCATAGCTTTGATTGGCATTTTGAACTTGGCATTTAAATTAATGTGATCATGCGGGATTTATGAACTGGAACGCTGCGTAGGAGGCATATAGGTAAATGTTAAGACTTATACGGAATGACGGATCTCTAACTAAAACTAAGAGTAAATAGACATAAGGCACGGATGTTGCGGAACGGCCTTTAGGCGTCAGAACGATTGGGAGTTAATTGTTAACGAGTCGTATCTCAGAGTTATTGAGAACGAGTTAAGTTACTCGTTGAAAGTTAAAGTAGATTAGTTAGTGAAGTAAGTTAGGCTATCTAGAGGATAGCGGAATCGTTGTCGAACGATTGATAATTGATAGAAGTTCTCGAGGAGAACATTAGATATTAGTTAGGCGTTAATTGAACTGCAGGAGGCAGTTGGTTGAATAATAGTAATCGCGGACCCATTCCTTTGGTTGAATGATTAATTTATGTTCCAGCCACTTATAGGCTATTCTGTATTTGGATTGATTATTTCTTAATTCATTATTATTATTGGAATTGTTGTTGCGATTGACTATTGATTGCGAGCGAGATACAGTCGAAAGAGCACAAACAAGGGGCGAGCAGCATAATACGATACAGAACGGCTATCCACCAAATCAACCCTTTTGGGATTGTAAACAGTACTGGGATTTGGTTGCCCCACCGACCCAGTGCTAAAGGGAAACATATTGCGGCGACGCGGAGCAGAGTGAGAGGTCGGCCTAGAGATATTGTGAATTCCACACGTTTACATGTTTTAAGAGTTGAAGTGAGAACACTCTCAATAGAACCAGAAGCGTTTTTTTTTATTTTAAAGAAGCGACTTTTTATAGAACAACATGATAGCCCAATTAAAACTGAATGCTGACAATCAACTGACAACTACGTGAAAAAAAAAATCACTATCAATAAGCAAAACTTAACTCAACACCATTTTCGACCGTTTTAATGTTAGGCTAGCCAGTGTCAGCTGCTGAAAAAAACCTTTGATTTCTGGCCAATTGAAATTTGCCTCTCAACGATCCACAACAGAATTGACTATGTTCTGTGTAGTTTATCTCGGTTGTTAAATCTCACTTTTTTAATTAGCTCAAATTTTTTGTGATTAGTACCTCACGTCTTACAATTTTTGATGAAATTATGGGTGTTTGAAAAATGCTATTTTGACTTATTTGTAATAATTCACAATCGAATTTGGGCGAAAACTTCGAATAAATCGGCTTGGAAAAAGTGCAACTTTTCCTTTCGTTTTTCTGAAAGCGTTTTCATTTTTCGAAGTAGAAATGACTTTATAGACGTTAAAAGCATTTGAGTACGAATAATCGTGTTCGTTTTTTCGGCGGCAAACAATTTCAATTGGTAAAGGCTATAATTTGGTTCATGGAGGGATTTAAAATGAAACATTGGCTTGCCTTATTTTAAATGTGGTTTCTGCGAAATAAAGAGGAGCTATCAGTAGGCATTAACACTTCTGTTGAAGCTCTTTTTTTGCGACTCAAGGCTGCCGTTTTTTTTTTTGCGTCTGGAAATTGTAGTATTGCAAAATCTACACGGGCATAAAAGGCTATTATTTTAATTGTTTACATAAGAAAACAGTGGACTCCTTTCGACTTTTAACTTGGCAACCCTTTAAATACTAGTCTATTTTTTTCATTCTTTTTAGGTTAAATTCCTTTTAAAAATATCATTATTTTTTTTACAAACTATTTTGTCGGGTATCAAAAAAAATTGTATGGCCATAAAGGCTGATTGGTTAAAATGTTCTGCCTTGAAAAGCAGACATTAGAGCGATAAGCACCCGGTCTTGTGGAGCCTAATAAAGTTACAAATAAAAAGAACACCTGCAAATCATGGACTGAAAGTTTAACGGCTTTTTAATTAGAAAACTTCAAAGATGGGACAACTGAAAACTTTCCAAAACACCTGGAAGATGAAAAATATCCGATGAAACAAAGTCTAAGTGGATAAGAATTAGACTAAGGTACTTTGAAGCTTTCTTGCCTTAAAATTGGACCTGTCTCAAATCTTCATAATTTTTTTATTCCACTTTCATTTCAACTCGCTCAGTTGAGTTAACATTTTCCGGAATAACTTTATTTCTGTCCTTTGTTTCTTTACATTTTAAAATTTTATAAGATACGATGTTAGAATTTTTATAAGTTCCCGAAAAATAAAAGCAGCAGCACGGATGTAAACGAATTGATGGCCCAATACTCCGAGGAGACGCATTAGGTGGACAAATCAATCAGCAATCTGGGCGCGGCCTAGAGGCAAACGAATTGTTAGTTTAAATGTAAAAACTAGGCATTGACCCCATCCCTATTGGTACTAAAGACAGTTGTTCAATAATTGTTTAAATCATTCATGTTTAACTATCCATCATATAAATTCATACTCTTTTCTAACTAAATTTTTAACTAAAACTGTTGTCAAGAAATTTGACGAACTAAGGTGAGATTTGTATGTTAGGCTAGATTACTAAGCAATCAACCAGCAATGACTGCTTAGTAAAACTGGTGCGACCGCATCAGAGAACTACTCCTTAAGAAATTCCTTTCCTTTTTCCAACAAAATTTTAATATTAAGATCTGTGGGTATTTGTCAGATTAGTTTTCATTCTCAAAATGCCAGAGACAATGGAAGTCTTTCAATAGAAACACGATTTAATTGTCTTCTCCTTGACAGACATTCCTAGAAGGGTTCTTGCGAAGCGTACCCCCCTGCGCTAACAGTCACCCAAGATAACAATTTCTCGCCCCATCGGAATCTTTTTAACTGGAGAAAGTAATTTCCTTTTCTGCTAGTCAATGAAATTGAATTGAAATTGATACTAAAACAAAAAACAAACAGCACGAGATCAAAATTGAGCTTGAACAAATTAAGACTTATTGAAAAAAACGATAAAAATCATCACGACCTATTTAAGTGTCTTCATTACGTTCATTGACACTTATTAGTTTTGTTTTATGTATTATATTAACCCAAAAATATAAGCCCGTCGTATAAAACAACCAACAAACCAGCCAAGTTGAACAACAAATAAAACAACCAAAAGTATACACCAACCAAACAAAGACAACCAGCAGAACGAAATAACCACTCTTCTCACTCTCGCTTCGCTCATTCAGTTTAAGATCAGTTTAAAACGCGTTACTTAACAGACGTCTACGAAGGTTTTTGTTCTGACTTTCGATACAAAAATAACGGAATATTTGTGCTGGGGTTGGGTTTTTTTTCTTCATACAAGTTTCGACTTTATAACTAGCCTTTTTTGACGAAATTTTTTTTATCTCATTCGAAAACTATTTTTTTATGAGCTTAAATTTGAAAAGATATTTCAACTCTTATCGTTTTTTGTAAAGTTATGGGGGTTTACAGATTGTCATTTTTGCTAATTTGGGACAATTAACGCGCGATATATTTCGCGCTATTAACGCGGAAGCGAGATTTAATTCGTCTTAGAAATCATTCCAAATTGGTTCAAGGAAGCATATATGCTTTAATTGATTTCTTAATAGGAGCGGAATCTACCACGTTGTACTGAATATGACGTGTGGGGGGATGTTTTCACAAAAAATCTCAAATTTTTAAAAAATTTTATTTTATGACATTCAATTTTTTCAGGTTCTTACTGCTCCATTGACCTTAAAAGGCAGTCGGAACATTCAGTGCTTCGCCCTGGTATGAGCTGTCTTGTTTCAATATGAATTGGTTGTGTGCTCAGGATAATTTTTCCACGCCCAAATATTGCCGTAATAGTCTCTTGAAGCATAAAATATTTCTTAAGAAGCGCGCATAAATTAGTCCACGAGACAAAGGCATATTGGCATTCTTTCAGCAATTTTATTTTTATCTAATCTGGTCGCAGGCGATTATTATTTTGAATTTGAAGCAAAAAAAACTCAAAGTTTGGCTGCCGAAATGGCTCCTCCTATCAAATGAAAAACTACCCCAACCATATACTCTCCATTTTTCAAAAATTGAAATAAAAAGCTTAGTTCTACATCAAATATGATCATGATCTTGCTTCAGAATTATTAAACTCACAGTTCATAAATGAGGATTTAAATGTGAAGATAAATGTAATAATTCTGAGGCCATTTCTCGTGCTTGCTGTGGTACACTCTGGCGTTTCTGTTTGACGTATCGTTTGACCATTTCGTCTTGTATGCCAAAAGTTGAAGTTTTCAGATTACAAGAAGAGTTCAGTGGTTCGAGTACAATTCTTTTTCTAAACAAATGCAGGTTCTTTTTTATTGCACACTTTTTATATCCTCTTGGCTCAACGAATTAAAAAGGTTCAAGTTTAAAATCAATCAAAACTTGAAATACGGGTTTTCTCGAAAAATTAGCTCGTTTTTTATACAAAAACGATTTGGCATTTTTGTTGGCTTGCTCCAAATTAATCCTTTTTAATCCTCTTTGCTCAACGAAATAAAAAGGTTCAAATTTAAAATCAATCAAAAGCTTGAAATAAGGGTTTTCTCGAAAAATTAGCTCGTTTTTTATACAAAAACGATTTGATATTTTGGTTGGCTTGCTCCAAATTACATGTACCGAAGTGAGCGTTGTTTGCTTTTCACGGCCTACGATAAGTCACTTTGCAACAATTCTTTTGTTGGTTATTTTTACACAATTTTGTCATGTCATTGATAAAAGAGTTCCTCGAATTTTCAGAAGATTTGGGGTATTTTTAATTATTTTGCCCCAAAATCAAAAGTTCAACAGTTTGAACGGAAACTATTTGACTTCAACTTGATTGGTTAGACAAAATCGAGATGTGAAAACGAAATGTTCTTCAACAGGGACGAAAATTAATTTGAAAACTGTTTTTACTGTACCCAAATCATTACCATGTAAATCAATTTAAATTGACACAAGTTAAAAAGTCAAAAACGGCTTTTTTAATTATTGGGGCTTGTTAGTTAATTAAACAAAAGTTTCCCAAGCGCGGAATCTGAACAAACAATTAACTCGCCAAACTCGCCATTTTTCAAACAAATTTGCAAACAGAGCTCAAATGTCCTCAGCTTTCGGCACTGTTGAACACATTTTTAGTTTCCGCACTAATGTACTTCGGCACAGTTGAACGCCACCATCAAGTGAACAATCTCTCCTTTAAAGTAAATGGCTGATATAAGCTGTAAGGCCTGTATATACTATGCTCAAATCTGATTGGCTGAAAAAAGTTTTGGACCAAAGTGAACATCACCCTTACATCAATTTAATTGGAGATTGTTCTCTTGGTTAAAGGAAAATTTACCATCCAATCAGATTTGAGCGGAGACCTGACATCTTGGGGAATTTGACTGTTTAGACCCAATATATCCCTTCTATATTGTCCGCTAAGTCCCTTCCCTAAATACCAGAACCAGCAAGGGGTGAGCTGTGATCCGGTATTTGGTGACAATCCCTTCGGCTTAAAGGTTGAATTTGTTGGTCGATCGATGTACTACACTGGGTTGCGCCCCCTTTGCTCGATTGCTTTCGGCTGTTCTCTTCCTCGGAAAAAATCGCAAGAGACTGGAGAGTAATTGAATTCAGAAATAAATATATAAAAAGCCGAGTATAAGGACCACTAAGTGGCCTGAATACAATTTATTAAGTATCAATGAATTTAATCTGCGATAAGTTCCGGAAAACTGCCTCTTGCAGTTCACTTTACAATCAATTCTAAACAACTCTTCAACTTTGCTTCACAAAGCTTCACTAAAAATCTCGCGGCGAGAACTCACTTTTAAAATTTCACAAGTCAACCTCAGGACCCGTCTGAATTCTATAAGTCTCTCCCTTGTTCTCTCCAGTTCGGTGGTTGTGCCTTAATCGCGTATCGTTATCTTTATTTACTTTTGGTTCGGTCAGAGGCATACCGTTCCCTATACCTACTAACATTCACTTAACTAGCTGCCACTCAGGACTTATCAGCTGAATCAACCATTAGGTCAGCTTCAATTAAACATCGGGGTGGCACTTAGTTAATAAGGACATACTGAGCAAACATTGGGTTCAACTACAAAATTAGCTTCCAACCGTATTTGACAAATAACATCTTGCATTATTTTATTTTAGTTCTTCCTAACTTTTTACCTTTCCCTTGAATTGGGAAGTTCTCACATAATCGGGAATTTAACTTCCATGATACTTGAAAAATTTCCATTTTTGGTCATTTTTAATTTTTTTCCCCTAAGTCCTAGGGCTGGGTAATTCCCTTCCCCGTGTCCGTTTTGATCCGAAAAAAAAACACCACAAGAATTTATTTAATATGCTAGGTCTGTTCATAAAATTTTCATCCCGAAACTCCCATTTCCCCCCATAGATGGTCTCAATTTTTGTCCCGGGGCTGTATTTTTTACTTATTTGTCGTTCTTATCGAAAGTCCAATTGGAGTGGGTTAAGCTGACCCCAATGTTTGCTAATTACAGAAAATCACTTTCGCTCGGGTACAAAGGTCAAAACTAAAAATTCTCGATTCAAGGGCTTCCCCTTCCAGGTGGGTAGGTACCCCTTACGGCTCCTTACTAAGCTAAATTTTTGCTTTCCAGGGGGTTCCGGGGGTCTTGGGTCAAAAATGCCAAATGACCTCTTAGAGGTCATCCGAGGTCATATGAGGTCAAACGCGTCCAAACGTCCTATTTTTGATGGGAGATCATTTCCACTAAGTTTCATTCATATCGGACCATCCCTTCCCATATTTTCGAAAAATTTGGGTCAATTAACACTTTTCCCTAAAGATGCCATTTTCAACCCATAGGAAGTTCCGGAGAGGATTGGGTCACTAGGGGTCCCCCTACCGGGTTGGGCCCCCTTCATATTGGTGCATTAAAATCACAAGTCAATTATCACTTTCAGGTTTTAATAGCCTAATGCAATTTTCAAGTGCTAATAGCTTCCGAGGTAGCCGCCGGGTAGGGTTCAAACATTACTACATTTTAGGTCTTCCCCCAACTACCATCCCCCCAAGTTTCAGCCTCCTAGCATTATCAGGGGTTGAGAAATCAAAAAAAGTGAGTTTTGTTTTCATAGGGCATAAAACCGGAAGTAATAACCGGATGCGTTCAAAATCCCGGTGGTGAACTTCCCTCGCCTAGGGCTACAACTTATTGTAACATGAAGTCATTTTGACAATTAGTTACCGGTTTACAAAAAGTGCTAGTTGCAATTTCGGAAATCATTATCACTCGCTCCCCAGGGGTCCCAGGGGTCTGAAAGTGGGCATGCCTGGCTAAAATCATGTCTTTTAGTCACCCAACAATTTTCTTGAGGATCGGATCAATGGTACCCAATCCGGGGGGGGGGGCTGTTTCCAGATTTTAGGCTCTTCTTTTAATTCTCCGTCCTAGAGGTCAAATTCAAGGCGCAGAGTCCGATTACAATTGTTTGCTCTCAAACTAAGCTTATCTATCACTTAACTTCATTGCTATAAGGTCATACAGTACGTTCACGTTAAAATCAAATTTCGCAATTTTCGACCATTTTCATCATGAATTACCAATCTTACACCGAGGTTACTATGGCATGTAAAACAGTAGAATCACCAATTCTACAGTCTGCCCTTCTAGTCTAATATTCTCCCGAATAATGAAAAAGTAACTCCTAACGAGGCCTAATGATAAGTTACATAACTCTTCGCCTCGCCGTGCTCCCTAACACTTAGTCGTTTTCCCTCCCTTTAAATTTTTACCCTTAAAATATCGCGGACCCAACAGTTAGTTCACGTTAAATAAACATTGATATAGCACAAAGAGTAACCTAAGAGGGCACGTAACTGAAGTAATTTTACTCTTCATGGTACGATCCAACCCTTTCACTTTCATAATCATCACTATCAATCGTCTGCAAAACAGTTCAGGTGGGATCGCACTCAATGTAACTAAGCACCAACTAATGAGATAAAAAAAGACCGTCTACTAATGTAAGTGCTAACTCAGAAACTCGTCGATTCCAAACCGTACAGGTGGTTTCCTTACTCGAGTTGGTCGACCGCCATCATCTGCAGTTCCAAATTCCATCACCGGTTCGGCAGCCATCACCTCGCCAGGTGGTCTGTCTTCCGCCTCACAGGGTAGATTCGCTGGCTCCTCTTCCTTTCTGGCCTCCAGCTCCGTCGTATCGTATGCCTCAATCGCATCTTTTTCCCTTCTAGCCACTTCCCGCATCATTCGTGGTGGATCAGCGATGTGTTCGGGCATCGCCCGAAATCGCACATTTCTCCCGTGCGGATTAAATTGTGTTTCGACTGCTCAATTTCTCACAGGCAACAATCTCACTGGTACATCTCGTGGGCCTGGGTCATGACTAAAACCCTCCCCGTTGTTCACCCTTAACAACTCATCTTCAATATACATCTCCGGGTCATCGAAGAAGTTAACCGACCGATAGGGTGTCCGTCGCTTGCTGCTAGTAGCCTCATCTGACTGTGCCGTCTCTTCTTTGAATCGCTTCAGCATGTTGAAGTGCAAGAACCGTACCTTGTTGGGGGTAGTCACCTTTGCCACTTTATAGTTGACTTCAAAGACTTTCGCCAAGATCACGTAAGGACTTTATCTTCTCTTTCGCCTAAACCCATACCTTGTCGCATATCTCGTAAGGATAGCCGTGGACCTTCTTTCTATACTGATCCTTTTGTCGGCGCTGATTTGTCCCCAGAAGCTCCCGAGCGCTGCTGTGGGCATTGCGGAACTGCTCGTCCAAGCACTCCACAAAGCCATCTTGGGTGTGCACTTCATCGTGTGGCTTCGGATAAAACAAGTCAATCGGGTACTGAAAATCTTGTCCATGAACAAGGTTAAAGGAATGTCGCGCCCGTGGTCCTGTGGATCATGGTATTATAGACAAAGTTTAAGCACGTCAAAACTGTATCCCACGTTCTCAGGTTGTCGGCGCAGTACTTCGAGATGACATCTGCTATCACTCTGTTATGGCGTTCAATTTGTCCGTTTCCTTGGGGATGACAGGAGGAAGTTCGTGATTTATCGATTCCTAGGAGTCGGCACATTTCCAGTATAAGGTTGCTTCCAAAGTTCTTGCCCTGATCGTATGCCGCACATTCGGTGCTCCAAACTTCAGTACCCAATGTTCTACTATCTCCCGTGCCACTTCCGCAGAGTCCGTTGACACTGGGGGTACCGCGACCGCATATTTGGTGAACAAGTCGGTCATGACTAAGACGTGCTTCACCCGCGTCCGTGTGGCTAACGTTACTGGTCCGAGAATGTCCGCTGCAACAGTGGTGAATCGAATTCCCATTTTAAAAGGGATCAAGCCAGCCACCCTTTTTTTCCCACCGGTGCTTCGGGCTGCACAGGTGAGGCACCACTGAACCTTCTTTTCCACATAAGTCCTCATTGTGGGCCACCAGAACCGCTGGCGGATCCGGGCTAGCGTCTTCTCTACCGCAAAGTGTCCACCACTGGTCTGGGATAAGTAAAGCTGGTTCAGGATCTCCCTTCGTCCCGCTGCTGGGACCATCGTCTGCAAGATTGGCCGCGAGTCAACCTTCGGGAACCATTTCTTGTATAGGACCCCTCCGCGGATACCTAGCTCGTTCCATCTTGACCAGTATGCTAAAGCCTTGCGACCATATTGAATCGCTTGGTCTTTGGGAGCTAGGCTCTTCCCTAGTGAAGGCATATCACCAGTTTCAGATTCCAAGCAGGCCCATTAGAACACCTGAGCAATCGCTTCGTCCTTTTTTTGGAGAGAGGAGGTTTCTGAGTGAGTCCTTTCCCAGGTGATTGTTTCCACTTCCTCCTCTCCATTGGTTTCATCACTGAACATTGCGACAGTCTCCACTCGGTGTTGACTTGCTTCCTGTAAGGCCTCCTCGAGGGAAATGGGCTCTGGGCAGGATCCGAATTCTTTTTCCCTCTCCCCTGGCATCCAGTCGGGCCTCTCTTCTAGCATTCTGGAGAGCCCATCCGCATTTCCGTGTTTTGCCCCGGCTCTATTGACCACATTGAAGTCAAACTCCTGAAGCTGCTGCTGCATTCGGAAGGTCATCCCATCGGGCTCTTTCTGTTTGAAGAGCCATTGAAGATTGGAGTGGTCAGTCCACAGCACAAACTTCACGCCCCAGATATAGGACTTGAACCACTTCACCGCCTGCACGCCTGCACGACAGCTAATGCTTCTCGTTTTATCGTAGAATAGTTCGTCTCCGTTTTGGACATCACCCTGCTGGCATAGACGAGGGGTCTTTCCTTCCCGTTGATGACATTCGAGAGCACCGCACCTAAGCTGGTATTGCTCGCATCCGTATCCAATATAAAGGTCCCTGTGTAGTCGGGAAACTCCAGTACTGGGGCCGTGAGGAGCTCCTTCCGCAGTCTATCGAAGGCTGTCTGACATTCGTCGGTCCAAATGAAAGGCACCTTCTCTTTCGTCAAAGCGGTCAATGGGCTTGCAATCACCGCGAAGTCCTTCACAAACCGACGGTAGTAGTTGCAGAAGCCGAGGAAAGATCTGATCCCTTTAACCGTGGTGGGTACTGGCCATTTCTTAACCACTTCCCCTTTCTCGGGGTCCATTTGGCTTGGATACCTTCGTTTCCGATCATGTGGCTCAGGTAAGTGACCTCCCTCTAAACCAGCTTGCGCTTCTTCGGTTTGAGCTTCAAGTTTGCCTCCCTAAGTAGCTGTAATGTAGCCTTCAGGTGTGAGAAGTGGTCCTCTTCACACTTACTGTAGACCAAGACATCGTCAAGAAACACTAGAGCCCACTTCCACAAATGTTCCCGAAACAGCTCATTCATGAGTCGCTGAAACGTCCCAGGGGCGTTGGACAACCCAAAGGGCATCATTACATACTCGTAGAATCCTCCATCTGGGGTCACGAAGGCAGTCTTGTGTCGGTCCTCCTCGGCTACTGGCACTTGCCAAAACCCGCTTGCCAAGTCCAGAGACGAGAAGTATTTCTGTCCATTGAGTGCATCGAACGTTTGATGGATTTTCGGAATCGGGAAAGCGTCCTTGACCGTCGCATCATTCAACTTCCGATAGTCCACGCAGAACCGCCAACTCCCGTCCTTCTTTGTCTGTAAGACAATTGGGGCACTATAGGGGCTTTTGGAAGGTCGGATCACTCCTTCCTCCAGCATTGATCGGCATTTTGGCTGGAGAAGTCCGATGAGGAGGTATCGTTATTGGGCCCGTGTCCCCCGTATCGATCCAAAGTGTCACTAAATTATTTCGTCCTAACTCGGCATCGGTTAGAGCAAACACGTCCCGGTATGATCGGACAGGGTCAGCAAGCCTGTCTCTCTCGGTCCCTGTCACTCCCGGTGCCGCTAACTCCAAAATCTTCTCGATGTCCTCGTCCAAGTGACGCCTCGCTTGCACTTGTAGATCGATCGACCCCTTCTCGCTAGTCGCCCATTTTTCGTGGTCTTCATTGTACTCGTGACCGCTCTCCTCTGAGTCTGTCGGGGATTGGCTGGGTTGCCAGCCGTCCCGGGTAGCTGCTGAGTTTGTATCGGGTGGCTCTGAGAATGATAGAAGTCATTGTGGGTCATCCACATCCTCGGTTGCCTCCGGTTGGCACGAGGAGATTGTCAAGGGTTAGTAATGCAAAGGGACAATCGACTCTTCTTGCGGTCCGGTCCACAAGTTGTCACAATGAAAGTCCAAGGAGCACTGGAATTGCTTCAGGGATCGCAATCCTATAATCATCTCGGCTTTTAATTCTGGGTCTACCAAGGCTTCTATGTCGTCATCGATGGACGCGAGTTTCAACTTCATTGTAGTCCAACCATCTACGGCCACATGACGTCCATCTGCGGTCTGTAGGGAACCGTTGTATGGTTTCAAGCTTGGGTGCTCCCTCAATCCATCGTAAGTTACACTGCGGATGAGGTTGATAGTGGCTCCAGTATCCACCAAAGCTTTTACACTGGTCCCCCCACGCTGGCTTCTGCTATAAGTCCGAAGGGCGCTTCGGGCACCTGACACACACTCACAAACTCCAAAGACATTTCGGTCTGACACTGGCTATTCACGTTTCGTATCGGTTCCATCACTTCGCTGGGGCTTGTCTGATGGAACAGGGACTGCACTTGTTCGGTCGCGGTAGGGCCATCGTTCCATCTCATGGTAGGAGGGGGCTTCTGGGGTTTGGGGTCTCGCAGGGGAACGTCACTGTTCGGGGGACCCCGATTTATCTGTTGTTGTCTCTTAAATTCGGCCGGGACAAACCCTCCTTGGAAAGTCTCTTCTGTCCCGGCACCTGGTAGTTTAAAGGATTCGAAGTTTTCTGGGGACACTGCTTCGCGAAGTATCCGGGTCGCCCACAAGAGAGAGAATTACCGCGGGGTATCGTACTCTTCATCCCATACCTCCCCCCTGCATTGGATGGAAAGTTTTGCCGGCTTTCACCAGGGTAGGGGTCAAACAGTTTCCTGGGTCGTTGAACCTGTTCTTGTCGGGGTAGGTTTTCCGGGTGGGGTGCGGGGATAACAGAGTTAACGAATCTACCCATCATGGCTGTCATATTCTGCATCTGCGTCAACAGGTCACCCTGAGCACTCACCAATTGGTGGATACTTGGGTCTGTACCCACTGGTTGACGAGCCGAGCTCGTCCCCAATTGAGGTGCTCGCCCACTCAGTCCGCTTCCCACACTGGGTTCAGCCGTTGGCTCGGGAATGCCCTCCGCCACGCGTGCAAGATACAGTCTCTTTCTGTTCCTGGCCCTTGATGATTTGTTAACTAGATCTAGTGCCTGTGCGCGAGCGATTGCTTGTGCCAAGTTCCCAAGGTCTTCTCGCAATAGATGGTCCTGTAGCTCGACGTCGAAAAGTCCATCGATGAACTGCTCACGATTCATCGCGTCCCTCGCCTGAGCCCCAGCATTACCATTTGCATAATCGCCGAGGGATCTGTCTCGACGGGAAAACTCCCTGAGCCTTCTTTTTCACCCTGCATCAAGTTCTTGAACTCTGCTCGGGCCCCAGCTTGTGTCTGAAACGGCATCATGCGGTGATCGAGCTCAGCCAACATCGCTGCCAAAGTTGGTGGTTCGAATCCCTCCAATTCTTCGCTGAAGTGGGCTGGCATGCTGGTGAATTCGTCAAGTTCCCAACCCGTCAGGCAAGTTGGCAGGACCATCCGGGCTTGCTCGTCGTCCCACCGGTTCGCATCGGTCACCCACGCAAAGTGCTTCCTCCAGTCCACCCAGTTCTGGTAGCTGCTGGACAAAAACCGGTCCGGACGTATCGTCCCGAATCCGAACACACCTTGCTGTCGGTCGAGGGCGTTTGCTGCCACCACCGCAGCCTCTGCCATGAGTTGACGATCTTCGTCGTTCATCGCCATTGCAAGCGTATCGTCTAGTAGTTGATCAAACGTATCGTTTCACGCAACTGTAGTCTAAAGAGCGCCCACCCAGGAGCGCCAATTTCATCTTGGGGAATTTGACTGTTTAGACCCAATATATCCCTTCTATATTGTCCGCTAAGTACCTTCCCTAAATACCAGAACCAGCAAGGAGTGAGCTGTGATCCCGTATTTGGTGACAATCCCTTCGGTTGAAAGGTTGAATTTGGTGGTCGATCGATGTACTACACTGGGTTGTGCCCCCTTTGCTCGATTGCACTCGACTGTTCTCTTCCTCGGAAAGAATCGCAAGAAACTGGATAGTAATTGAATTCAGAACTAAATATATAAGTTGCCGAGTATAAGAACCGCTAAGTGGCCTGAATACAGTTTATTAAGTATCAATGAATTTAATCTGCAATAAGTTCCGGAAAGCTGCCTCTTGCAGTTCACTTTACAAACAATTCAAAGCAACTCTTCAATTTTGCTTCACAAAACTTCACTAAAAATCTCGCGTCGAGAATTCATTATAAAAGTTTTACGAGCCACCCTCAGGACCCGTCTGAATTCTATAAGTCTCTCAATTGTTCTCTCCAGTTCGGTGGTTGTGCCTTAATTGCGTATCGTTATCTTTATTTACTTTCGGTTCGGTCAGAGGCGTACCGTTCCCTATCCCTACTAACATTCACTTAACTAGCTGCCACTCAGGACGTATCAGCTGAATCAACCATTAGGTCAGCTTTAATTAAACATGGGGGTGGCATTTAGTTAATCAGGACATACTGAGCAAACATTGGGTTCAACTACAAAATCAGCTCCCAATCGTATTTGACAAATGACCCATTGCATTTTTTTATTTTAGTTCTTCCTAACTTTTTCCTTTTCCCTTGAATTGGGTAGTTCTCACATAAGCGGGAATTTAACTTCCATGATACTTGAAAGTTCAAGGGCTAGCCGCCGGGTTGGGTCCAAACATTACTACATTTTAGGTCTTCCCCAACCTACCATCCCCCCAAGTTTCAGCCTCCTAGCGTTATCAGGGGTCGAGAAATCACAAAAAGTGAGTTTTGTTTTCATAGGGCATAAAACCGGAAGTAATAACCGGATGCGTTCAAAATCCCGGTGGTGAACTTCCCTCGCCTAGGGCTACAACTTATTGCAACATGAAGTCATTTCGACAATTAGTTACCGGTTTACAAAAAGTGCTAGTTGCAATTTCGGAAATCATTATCACTCGCTCCCCAGGGGTCCCAGGGGTCTGAAAGTTGGCATGCCTGGCTAAAATCATGTCTTTTAGTCACCCAACAATTTTCTTGAGGATCGGATCAATGGTACCCAATCCGGGGGGGGGGGGGGCTGTTTCCAGATTTTAGGCTCTTCTTTTAATTCTCCGTCCTAGAGGTCAAATTCAAGGCGCAGAGTCCGATTACAATTGTTTGCTCTCAAACTAAGCTTATCTATCACTTAACTTCATTGCTATAAGGTCATACAGTACGTTCACGTTAAAATCAAATTTCGCAATTTTCGACCATTTTCATCATGAATTACCAATCTTACACCGAGGTTACTATGGCATGTAAAACAGTAGAATCACCAATTCTACAGTCTGCCCTTCTAGTCTAATATTCTCCCGAATAATGAAAAAGTAACTCATAACGAGGCCTAATGATAAGTTACATAACTCTTCGCCTCGCCGTGCTCCCTAACACTTAGTCGTTTTCCCTCCCTTTAAATTTTTACCCTTAAAATATCGCGGACCCAACAGTTAGTTCACGTTAAATAAACATTGATATAGCACAAAGAGTAACCTAAGAGGGCACGTAACTGAAGTAATTTTACTCTTCATGGTACGATCCAACCCTTTCACTTTCATAATCATCATTATCAATCGTCTGCAAAACAGTTCAGGTGGGATCGCACTCAATGTAACTAAGCACCAACTAAGTTTGAACGGAAACTATTTGACTTCAACTTGATTGGTTAGACAAAATCGAGATGTGAAAACGAAATGTTCTTCAACAGGGACAAAAATTAATTTGAAAACTGTTTTTACTGTACCCAAATCATTACCATGTAAATCAATTTAAATTGACACAAGTTAAAAAGTCAAAAACGGCTTTTGTAATTATTGGGGCTTGTTAGTTAATTAAACAAAAGTTTCCCAAGCGCGGAATCTGAACAAACAATTAACTCGCCAAACTCGCCATTTTTCAAACAAATTTGCAAACAGAGCTCAAATGTCCTCAGCTTTCGGCACTGTTGAACACATTTTTAGTTTCCGCACTAATGTACTTCGGCACAGTTGAACGCCACCATCAAGTGAACAATCTCTCCTTTAAAGTAAATGGCTGATATAAGCTGTAAGGCCTGTATATACTATGCTCAAATCTGATTGGCTGAAAAAAGTTTTGGACCAAAGTGAACATCACCCTTACATCAATTTAGTTGGAGATTGTTCTCTTGGTTAAAGGAAAATTTACCATCCAATCAGATTTGAGCGGAGACCTGACATCTTGGGGAATTTGACTGTTTAGACCCAATATATCCCTTCTATATTGTCCGCTAAGTCCCTTCCCTAAATACCAGAACCAGCAAGGGGTGAGCTGTGATCCGGTATTTGGTGACAATCCCTTCGGTTTAAAGGTTGAATTTGTTGGTCGATCGATGTACTACACTGGGTTGCGCCCCCTTTGCTCGATTGCTTTCGGCTGTTCTCTTCCTCGGAAAAAATCGCAAGAGACTGGAGAGTAATTGAATTCAGAAATAAATATATAAAAAGCCGAGTATAAGGACCACTAAGTGGCCTGAATACAATTTATTAAGTATCAATGAATTTAATCTGCGATAAGTTCCGGAAAACTGCCTCTTGCAGTTCACTTTACAATCAATTCTAAACAACTCTTCAACTTTGCTTCACAAAGCTTCACTAAAAATCTCGCGGCGAGAACTCACTTTTAAAATTTCACAAGTCAACCTCAGGACCCGTCTGAATTCTATAAGTCTCTCCCTTGTTCTCTCCAGTTCGGTGGTTGTGCCTTAATCGCGTATCGTTATCTTTATTTACTTTTGGTTCGGTCAGAGGCATACCGTTCCCTATACCTACTAACATTCACTTAACTAGCTGCCACTCAGGACTTATCAGCTGAATCAACCATTAGGTCAGCTTCAATTAAACATCGGGGTGGCACTTAGTTAATAAGGACATACTGAGCAAACATTGGGTTCAACTACAAAATTAGCTTCCAACCGTATTTGACAAATAACATCTTGCATTATTTTATTTTAGTTCTTCCTAACTTTTTACCTTTCCCTTGAATTGGGAAGTTCTCACATAATCGGGAATTTAACTTCCATGATACTTGAAAAATTTCCATTTTTGGTCATTTTTAATTTTTTTCCCCTAAGTCCTAGGGCTGGGTAATTCCCTTCCCCGTGTCCGTTTTGATCCGAAAAAAAAAACACCACAAGAATTTATTTAATATGCTAGGTATGTTCATAAAATTTTCATCCCGAAACTCCCATTTCCCCCCATAGATGGTCTCAATTTTTGTCCCGGGGCTGTATTTTTTACTTATTTGTCGTTCTTATCGAAAGTCCAATTGGAGTGGGTTAAGCTGACCCCAATGTTTGCTAATTACAGAAAATCACTTTCGCTCGGGTACAAAGGTCAAAACTAAAAATTCTCGATTCAAGGGCTTCCCCTTCCAGGTGGGTAGGTACCCCTTACGGCTCCTTACTAAGCTAAATTTTTGCTTTCCAGGGGGTTCCGGGGGTCTTGGGGTCAAAAATGCCAAATGACCTCTTAGAGGTCATCCGAGGTCATATGAGGTCAAACGCGTCCAAACGTCTTATTTTTGATGGGAGATCATTTCCACTAAGTTTCATTCATATCGGACCATCCCTTCCCATATTTTCGAAAAATTTGGGTCAATTAACACTTTTCCCTAAAGATGCCATTTTCAACCCATAGGAAGTTCCGGAGAGGATTGGGTCACTAGGGGTCCCCCTACTGGGTTGGGCCCCCTTCATATTGGTGCATTAAAATCACAAGTCAATTATCACTTTCAGGTGTTAATAGCCTAATGCAATTTTCAAGTGCTAATAGCTTCCGAGGTAGCCGCCGGGTAGGGTTCAAACATTACTACATTTTAGGTCTTCCCCCAACTACCATCCCCCCAAGTTTCAGCCTCCTAGCATTATCAGGGGTCGAGAAATCACAAAAAGTGAGTTTTGATTTCATAGGGCATAAAACCGGAAGTAATAACCGGATGCGTTCAAAATCCCGGTGGTGAACTTCCCTCGCCTAGGGCTACAACATATTGCAACATGAAGTCATTCTGACCATTAGTTACCGGTTTACAAAAAGTGCTAGTTGTATTTTTGGAAATCATTTTTACTTGTCCCCCAGGGGTCCCAGGGGTCTGGAAATTGGCATGCCCGGCTGAAATCATCTCTATTAGTCACCCAACAGTTTTCATAAGGATCGGACCAGTGTTTCGCAATCCGGGGGGGTTTCCAGATTTTGCGCGCTTCTTTTAATTCTTCGTCCCAGAGGTCAAATTCAAGGTGCAGAGTCCGATTACGATTGTTTGCTCTCAAACTTAGCTTATCTATCACTTAATTTCATTGCTACAAGGTCATACAGTCGGTTTACGTTAAAATCAAAATTTGCAATTTTCGACCATTTTCATCATGAATTACCATTCTTACACCGAGGTTACTATGGCATGTAATACAGTAGAAGCACCAATTCTACAAGACCTTACGGCTTTTGTTTGTTATATATTGTTTACTTAATCAATTAAGGGGGAGATTCTTCACATGGGCAGGAGAATTTTCGCTATTCACACCTTAGAACAAAACAAAAAACCCGAACACGATGTCAGTTTTGTTTTCTTTATACTATACTTGAGTGCTTTCAATTAGGGGAAAAGGAAAAGGAGTCTAGCCTGAAGTTGAAGCACGACCATAGACCCCTGTGATCCAAGTTGAATCGATGGGACCAAACTGGTCAAGTGTGCGTGCAGTAGAAGCAGATCAATTAAAGGATCAAAGGCGAAAAGAGATTAGATCACAACGATTTGGCCTCCACGATGATAAGTGGCTTCAAAACAAGTTTCAAAGTGTAAATGTCCAAACAAATAAAATCGCCTGATAAATATTTTAACTTGTTAATAACTCAAGCCCCCCCCCCTGTCATATCCAATACAGTTCGCATACTATATGTCATTTTCAAGTTTTTATACAATATACATTGATGCGGACCTACTTAACAATTGCCCCCCTTTCTTAAAAAAGGGGGGGCAATTGTTAAGCAGATCCATTGATGCCTTTTTTCGCTTCTTCAGTTCCCATTTTCGACACGATCGTCGCGTATGCAGAATACCTATGCTCTCACAGTTTACCTAATGCTGCTATTTATATAGAGGCTTTATCTGTTTTTTTTTGTTGCCAAGTAATCGTCAAATTTTGTGTTGCAAGCATGCAAGCATACCATATGCGCACTGCTTGAAGTAAATAATGTCTGTCAACAAACGTGCGTTTATTTTTGCACATAATTAGTTGAATGTAGTTTTGTGTATGTAGCTGTGTTTTGTATTCAACCCACGCTATTTTTTATCACCAATTTTTCATAAAATACATAATTTGATAATTCTGAAATCCAATTAACGAAGAAAAGTTTCAAATAACTATTTCAAGCTTTCAGTTTTCCAAGGCGGCAAGCTTAGCATATAGGTGATATAAGACAATGGGGTTTTTCATTAACAAGTTAAAATCGTAACGGCGAATTACAGTAACAAAGGTTTATAACAAAAAAATTCCAAAAAATATGAAGTAAGACCGGTTGATTTTCTTGAGCGACTTATTGTTTTGCTGTAACAAATTAAACTAGTCAGTATGCACAAAAAATTACAACATTCTGGCGACATAGTTGCAACGTTATTTTTAAATTATACGTCATTTTTGTTTCGTATGCAATTTATATTTTAATATTGTAGCTTTCAGATTTGCTTTTGCAGTAATTTTTGGTTTTTATTTTGAGAGCAATTTGATATAAGAACTTTCGGTCCCCCCCCCACTTAAACATGAATTTTATGGTCTAACGAGTGGTTTTACAAGGTAAATTATGAAGACCAAATATGTTTGTCATGGCCTAATTAGTCCGCCTGTCAATTTTCATAACAATTGAACAAAGTGAACAGTAACTTCAAATGAAAAAATTTGCAGGTGGGGGGGATAAAGGAAAAAGAGCCGAACTTTCTGTCGTCTAAATATACTAATTGCGCCAATATATACTAACTTTGAGGGGAAGCGCGCGCCAAAAGAACGCGTTTTTTTTTTAATTTTTCAAAAAAAGTGCTCAGAAACGGCTTTTTGATTTGTTTTTTTTTTTCAAATAGGGTCTGTATACTGTTCTGGGAGCGCTCGGAAGCTCAATTTGATCGACCTAAAATCTCAACATGTCAACAAATCTTTGAAAGTCCTCCCCCTCAAGAAAATCTTAGATCCGATCATGAATGACAGGACGTGACTAAAAGCCCTCGCGCGACATCTAGCTCCAGGTGAACGACGTTTGCTGCAATTGAAGAAATTCTAGACACAAGAAACGGCCCTGAGGCGCGAAAAAAGAGTTTCGCTCAACAAAAAACTGAAAGCGAAAGTAAAATGTAAGATGCCTATAGACAGACCGGATAGTAATTTCATTTTTCCTCTGCCGAACTTAGAATTAAAAGTAAGATGCTAAAACTCGAGTTCATTTGGCTGGATATCATGAAAGTCATAAATCAAAGTAGAAACTGCAAACGGCTTCTGCAACTTGTCAAACCAAGACAATACCACAATGCACATGACAGTTAAGACCCACAAACCTGATCAATGAACAAAACCAAAGACTTTCCATAAGTTAAACTAGAACATCTAAACTAACGTGTTATGTCCGACTGATTTTATCACTCGAGTGTTATCTTTTTTTTTTCGCGGAATTTGGACTTCTCCTTTTTCGGAACCATGATATGAATATGATTTATATGCGGAACTGTGTGACTGAGTGCCATTATAAAATTGATGATTCTTTCGTAATGTCGACTATTGCAAAATCGCCAAGGACAGCATCAACTTGCGTTTATAGAGGTTTAGCATTGTATGCTACGATAAGTTGTAAGCTCAGGGGAGTGATTGTTAGCCTAAGGTAAACAAAGCAGAACAAATCGAAAATATGAATAGCAATTACGGACAACAGGTAAAGATTTTACATTTCTCGCCAAATTCTTATTCGATTCAAAGTTGGCTTAGAGTCCTGTGGGAATCCTTTGTTCTGAAGAGTATCTTCATCAATGACTAAACCCAAGTGGACGGACACCTAGTTCTTTTTCTTGGAGAACGGAGGTGTTGTGTGGCTATTGGCGAGGACAGCCACCTTCGTGTTCAGAGGATTTATTAGCGGATCTCAGCCGACCAAAAAAAAAAGCCCCTATCCCAATGGGAGGGAACGGCCGAGTGGGATTTCGATCCCTCCCTGCCTGATATCCACAGTGTATCTCTTCACAGGTTACCTCCTTGGGAAAAGTCGTCGCTCTTGTCTGGAGAAGAGTAGGTGGAAAACTAGTGTCATTGGGTGGCTATCGTTATGTACGCCCAGAACATCAATGACGGCGGGCACACGGAACTGCGGAGACAAGCTTTGAGAGAAATTGAAGAATGGAGTGACTTCTATGTGGAAAATACTTCCGAGGAGGAAGCTTTTGAAGAAGAGTAATAGAAAAAAACTCAGGAAAGGAAAGCAAAGAGAAAGGTTCATTGAAATCCATCATGAATGTTCTATGTAATCTTGGATCTAAAAAACTTGATAAAAAAAATAATTAAAGTTTATGTATTACCCGGCCCAAATTCTAAAACAATGTTTGGGAGAATAATAATCCAGGAGAGAAGACTGTTAAATTAGTGATTCTTTTGTGAAATGGACTAATTGCGAAGTCGCCGCAGACTTTTTTATTAAGAATTTTATTATTTAATAATTATGTAATAAATGCTTTATGTAAATTTTATTATGTAATAAAATTTTATTATCTAATAAAAAGCTACAAAAACGCAGCTACATTAGCATACAAGATTTCGGACACTTTTACCGGGTCGCCCAAAACGCCGGACACTTAGCAGGGCTCACATTGTGTCCAAAAAGACAACAACACTCACCAGAGTTATCTAAAAGGGAGATAAAATTGAAATAGAGTTGGTAGCATCCCAGACTGAAACTGACGATATTTTTTCGGAAAATTATAATTGGATAAAAACGCTCCCACAAGGCTAGGTTATCGGCCTTCCGAAACAATTGAATATGGTTTTAAGAAATCGGAAGTGAAATTTTTTGTTTTCGGTGCAAAGCACTGCACTCCCGGGGATGATTTTCCGACCCTTGGCGGTAACAGGGAGCCAATTTCTTGTGGTATGTTAGGCAGTGACAAGTTACCACATGCATTATAATTTGAATCAAATCCAGCGGTTGGAACGAAAGTTATTAGCACTCAGAAAAAAACATCCCCAGACAGCAATTGGGCAGTTTACAAAAAAGTAATGCGCAAGGGCATATTGGTCTAATGGCGCCCACAAAAACGAGTTACGAACCACGAAAAACTGTTCCTGGTCAATAGAACCCCTCCACCGACTCCTTTCGATGTTAACAGAAATTTCCCGGAAAAAAATAAGGATGGATTTTGGAAATAAAATAACTTGGGAAAATTTAATGTGATATGAATGAAACTTGGTGGACAGGATTCTCATGGTTTTCTAAACCCAAATATTTGACCTTCAAATGAACTTTGGATGTTTAGGACCAAAACTGGATAAAACGCTCAGAAATACTACCGGAAAATGGCATAATCCTCAACTCCAACCCCTGGAATAGATCATCTTACTTATAATTTAGAGGAAATTTATCTATTGAGAACTGAAGCAGCAGCTGAAAATATATATTAATTTAATATCGTAATTTGGAAGTAGTGGAACCAATAAAACCGACTTGACAAACATTAGATTTGGCGTGTTTTGTCGAAAATGCTATAAATAGATTTTCAACAAGACTAAAAAAAGAAACCCCTAAAAAATTGACAGTAATAGGAGCGTGGGATGGTAATCAGGTCTCCTAAACTACTTGAGACAATTTTCTTTATTGGGGTCTTCTTTTCACCTCTGCCAATCAGTTTTATCGCGATGGACTGCTATAAGATCTTTTGGGTCTTATGTAATAAACGGCGCAAAATCAAATTTTCTACACGCCATCTAAAAATTATGGTGATTGTAGCCGATCAAATTCAAGTTAGACGGTCGGGCATCCCGATCAACCTTTCCAGCAGATAAAAATGTTAGCCGAAATTTACGAAAACATCGAATTATTTTGAGTTACTTGTGAAACCTTGCCCAGACAAGAAAAACCTTAAAAACAAAAATTCAAATTTTTTTGTATCATTTTGGCTAATAGTTGTATCTGCTTGAAATGGCAGAAAATGTCAATGGAACTTGATTGGCTAAATAGCCAATCAAATTTAACCACATTAATTTCCATTCAAGAGATGTAGAAATCATGATTTTGGGCCGTTTAGTTCAAATTTGCGATGCTTCAATTCTTCGAAAAAATAAATGAAGTCCGCGCTATAGATTCATTAATTTGAGAAACAAAGTTTGCAGAATAAGCCAAACAATTTTCAATTTATATCAATTAAGAACACAAATTTTCGAAATCTTTTCTTTCTGGAAGAATTTGATTAAGCGTACCAGATCGGGCTGATTCTTTAAGGCATCCACGTTCCACAAACTCAATCGACTTTTCTCATCTTTGATTTGATACAATTATAAAAGCTGATAAGTAACTTAAGTAGACAGTAACTCGTTTAACTTATAGAATTGTTTTCAATTTTACCTGACTTTTTGCAGACAGAATTTATTAATATCTTCAGAAAGAGATTGCTAGAATGATTCGAATTTCGATACCTCCCTGCCTGATATTGACGTTACATCTATTCGAGGTTTATCTCCATCGGAATGGCCGCCGCTCGTGTCTGGAGAAGAGTAGGTGGAAAATTAGTGTCATTGGTTGGCTATCGTTCTGTACGCCCAGTACAACAATGACGGCGGGCACACGAAACTGTGGAGACAAACTTTGAGAGAAATTGAAGAATGGAGTGACTTCTATGTGGAAAAACTTCCGAGGAGGAAGCTTTGGAAGAAGAGAATGGAAAAAAAACTTAGGGAACAAAAGCAAAGAGAAAACTTCATTGAATTCAATCATGAATGTTCTATTTAATCTTGTATCTAAAAAACTTGAAAAAAAAATAACTAAAGTTTATGTCTTACCCAGCCCAAATTATAAAACAATGTTTGGGAGAACAATAATCTAGGAGAGAAGACTGATAAATTAGTGATTCTTTTGTGAAATGGACTAATTGCGAAGTCGCCGCAGACTTTTTTATAAAGAATTTTATTATGTAATAATTATGTAATAAATTCTTTATGTAAATTTTATTATGTAATAAAATTTTATTATCTAATAAAAAGCTTTTAAAACGCAGTTTTATTAAATTACAGGATTTCGGACATTTTTACCGGGTCGCCCAAACCGCCGGACACTTAGCAGGGCTCACATTGTGTCCAAAAAGACAACAATACTCACCAGAGTTATCTAAAAAGGAGAGAAAATTGAAATAGAGTTGGTAGCATCCCAGACTGAAACTGACGATATTTTTTCGGAAAATTATAATAGGATAAAAAACGCTCCCACAGGGCAAGGTTATCTGACCCTTAGTGGTAACAGGGAGCCAATTTCTTGTGGTATGTTAGGCA